CGTAATTGAGCTTGTGATATTTTGAGAATCATTGTGTCTGTCTAGAATGTGAATTTCTATACAGAAATAACTCGATGTAAGAATTTTCATTCCGTTTTGTGCTTAAGCATGAATTGGGTCGCTTGTTGGATGTATGATAGATGTGTATCGTTGTTTAATGAAAATAAGTGCACTGCAGTAGTAAAACTCGGATTTCGATGCTATAGAGCCTATGCTATGTATTAACAAAATAACATAGATATTAGTACAAGAATCTTGAAGTAATTAAAATGGTATTTTAATTTATTTTTATTTAAATAATATATATAATGCATTCTGAAAGTTGAAAATATGTTATGTAATTAGACTTAATCGGGTGTGCCTATCATTTACTAAATTATGAATAACAACAACTGCCACTGTAAAATCATGCTCTGATGTAATAGCTCATAGAAATCTTAGCGAGCATTTTCAAAAATACTGAGAGTTAAAATGTTTAGTACAGTAAATGTATTCATATCGGAGATAGTTATTCTACTAACGGAAATAAATGATATATGTTTGTGATTTAATGAATATGACTAACATTTTTATTTAACGTATGTTCTCTAGATTGGAGAAGAAGACAAAGAATTTGCAGATAGCAGAACGAAATGCAATGATACATGAAAAATGCTCCAGTGATTTGCAATCGTGGGTGAAGTGCAAGACACTTACGGAGAAACAAAGTGATCGATCGAAAGCATTGCTCGATGCTTTGAAACACCAGGGGAAGGAGCAAATCGATTTTACAAACGTTGTCATATCACGTGTCTTGTGCATATCGTGGACAAGACCTATAGAGGGAAGTATATTTCTGCCGCAAATGGCATACATGCAAACACAGAGAAGAATGAATTCTAGCGATATTATTCATCAGGCATTGAAGGAGGTTTTGTGCATGTTTTCGAGAGGGGAGGATCCTTTGATAGATGTGTCATCTGGCCGTGAAGACAGTCCGTATAGTCAAGCGAGTTCTTTGTTAAGTCTTGTGGGGGATTCTTCATTTTGTCAATTACCATTGATACCAATACGAGGCGACAACTCATCAGAACCGAAAAGTTTTACTTATTTATTAGATTGTTATTCAAGAATTGCAATTGAAGAAATAAATCATAGAAAGGTACGCACATACACACACACACACACACACACATCTTCAAAATTAGACAAGATTTTATTAAACTAATTTTTTTTTATATATTTTTTAGCAATCCAGTGTACTTCTCTCTGATACTCTTTCCGATGTAGTGACAATTTTGAAAGCGCAATGTGTTCACTATTCCAGCCTCGTTCTACAAGGATTAATCGGCATTTGCCAAGCCGCTGTCATACCTAAGTGTACCACTTATCTTTACTATCGGATATTATCGCGGAACTTACCTTGGGGCTATCTTGACGAGCTCGTGGCTAGGACATACACGAATCTGAACATGTTCGATAACATTTTCACTCCAGTCTTGAAACAACTGTGTATCGCGATACACACGGCGAGCTTTTACGACAATACGCCAAGAAGACCGATCGAGGCGCTAGGCGAACTGATAGAGATTTGCTGTGGACCAAACAGCCTTACACATCCGATTTGGTCTTTGATAACGAATGAAGTTAAATTCTTGCCTAATGTTATGACATCAGCAGCCAGAAGAGATCTCTCGAGAACCAAACTCCTGGGATTGTTTCTCTCGGCATTGGTATCTGCCGAAATGCAACCGAAACTGCTGGAGGGATTCTTCAATAAAAATCCTGGCAATCCGGAATTGCCCTATTTGGACACTTACACGCTGCAGCAATGGTTGGAGAGTACCAGAATGTCGTTGCACAAGATATTTGATACGATACTCGCGAATAGCAGCTGCCGCGATTCCACTTTTGCGTACTTGGCGGCGTTGCTACATCACAACGAGAAACGCGCGCAAATACAGATGGAGGACATTCCCTCCTTTGCCGGAGATGGATTTTTGTTGAATCTACTATCGATTTTGCAAATGCTCTCTGTGAACATTAAGCTGGATACTGTAGACCCGCTATATCCATTTCATCCTTCCAATTTCGTCGAGATAAAGAACGACACAAGACTGAAACTCACTTTGCAAGAGGTTGCGGAGTGGCAGAAACATTTGGACAGCACACATAAATGGACGGAACCGAAATTTCAGACACAATGTTGGTTCCTCACGCTGCATTGTCATCACATCGCGCTGTTACCGGCGTTGCAAAATTATCGGAGAAAATTGTATGCCTCAGAGAATTTACAAAAAATGCTCGACGAACTGCAAGCTACAGAATCTCAATGGAAAGATGGTCCTTTAGCGGAGCACAATAAAGACTTGATCAAACAATGGAAGCGACAGTTGGAGCAACTGGTTGCATTCAAATTATGTGCAGAGGTAGCTCTGATAGAGCCCATCTTTTTGAGAAGATGCTTAGGCTTTTATATATCGGTCGCCGAATTTTTGCTGAGTCTTCTAACGCAGACTCCGGATAATTTTTTTCCCGAACTTCCGTTGCCTCAAGAAGTTAAGTGCAAATTCACCGCATTACCAGAATGGTACATGAAAGACATAGTGGAATTCTTGTTATTCACATTCAAGTAAGTTATTACTAAATTATCAAATCTCACAACTTATACATAATGCTTATCTGGAGCTTATTAACAATTATAACTGCATTGTTTTATTTGCAGATTCTGTCCAATGTATGATATAGATATAGATATAGATATCTCGCCGCTTATCACTTTGTTACTCGTCGTCGTGTGTACGCCACATTGTATACAAAATCCGCATCTAATCGCAAAAATTATCGAGGTTCTTTATAATTCATTTAAGTTATATAATGTTCAGGTAGGAGTTTGTAGGGGAACAGAAACTTTTGGCCACAATCATTTTATCCAATTCATGGCACATCCTATATCCAAGACATTTCTGGCGTCGTATCTCATGAAATTTTATATCGACGTTGAACTCATTGACATTAATTCCGAATTTGAGGCCGTGGAATGCTATTTCGCAGGAACAACAACAATCGAGAACGAGACAGCTGGCGGCGGACGAGGCCCAAGCCAGATTCTCTCTTACATTAATCAAGGAAATAGTTGAAATGTTTCATGATTTAACAGTCAACATTAAGGAACTGTTTCTACGACCGGAATTAGTCGGACAATTGTGTGCCATGCTGAATTTCAATTTGCAACAGTTGTGCGGATCTAAGCCTGCAAATTTGACAGTGGAAAAACTGGGAAAATACGGATGGGAACCGAATCTGTTATTCTGTCAATTGATTGATATATATTTAATTAGACATTTACTCAACAGTGCCACGGATCCTTTCAATCGGCAGCCGCTTAGCGAAGATATGCTCGTGCCAAGTAAGTAATACATGTATTGTTTATATTTTTCTTTCTTTTGATGAAGACAACTTTCTTTTAGTCGAAATATTGGTAACATTTCATAACAATGCATTTTCATATACATAAATATATTAGAAAAATATTTGATGCGTCATAGATAATATAGTTTTTGACTGTCCTTTAAAGTCTATCGTATTGAAGTTTTTTAATGTCTTATGCCGATTTAAAAATATGTATATAAACTATTGTAAGTTTTTTTATCCATGTAGAAATATATCTCAAATTAATATTTATTTTCGAAATTGCAGTGCCCGATTTGAAAGAAAGAATATCAATATGGAAACAACAAAAGAAACAGTGCTAAGGTGACAAGAATTATGCACATAAAAATAAGAATATAGGGAAGGAAAGAAAAAGGAAGAAAAAGATAAACATTATAAATGCTTATATATATACGTATGTATGTATGTATCTATGTAAAATAATGTAACACAATAAACATACAGCAATATATTATGAATAATAAAAATAATATTCACTTGTGCTCTCTTTTGAGGATTTTTGGCTGTATAATAGTAATATGAAACTATCAAGACTTAGAAAAAGAAAACATTTCTTATGTTTACATTGCTTGGAAAATCAAATAAATAGATCTGGATAAAAAAAATTGAAGTATCACAAAATAATATGATTTTTAACGTCTTCATAGTTGTAATTATGTAATTAATAATTTTCATAATTTATGACAAGAGTTTTTGGTCATGAATACCTAATAAAATTAATTTCAAAAAATAAAAAAAAATAAAACAGTCCTTTGATAATTAATAAATAACCGTAAAATGAGTGTCAAAGTAAGCCTAGTCATACGGGAAAACATGTAGTTTGACAGCTGTCGAAAGAAGTGGAAAATGTTCTTTTTACATAATACTTTTCTTGCTAAGGTATTCATAGTCAGTTCTTAGGGCCGTGGCACATAAAAAAACTTTAGCAGTAAGACTTAAGACGTAAGCGAATTAACCAATCACGGTCGAACAGTAAGGCAGCCATATTGAAACGTAAACTACGCTGAAAATTCCGTATGGTTGAAATTCTTAAGTCTTAAGTCTTACTGCTTAAGTTTTTTTATGTGCCCGGGCCCTTATTTCAAAACCGTCTTAAGTAATGTCTTAAGATGCCAATACGGCTTTGTGATTGGTTTAGGACATCTTAAGATTGTGTTTAAGTGCCGGTATACAATAGGTGATTTAAGCCCTAAACCTTAAGAAATTGACTAATCACAGTCGAGTATTCTCCTCATACTTGACTGTGAGTATGTTTCCATCGGAGGGTTCGAATCGGGTTAAGGCTTAGGGCTTAAATCACCTATTGTAGACCGGCACTAAGGCTTAGGGCTTAAATCACCTATTGTAGACCGGCACTAAGGCTTAGGGCTTAAATCACCTATTGTAGACCGGCACTAAGGCTTAGGGCTTAAATCACCTATTGTAGACCGGCACTAAGGCTTAGGGCTTAAATCACCTATTGTAGACCGGCACTAAGGCTTAGGGCTTAAATCACCTATTGTAGACCGGCACTAAGGCTTAGGGCTTAAATCACCTATTGTAGACCGGCACTAAGGCTTAGGGCTTAAATCACCTATTGTAGACCGGCACTAAGGCTTAGGGCTTAAATCACCTATTGTAGACCGGCACTAAGGCTTAGGGCTTAAATCACCTATTGTAGACCGGCACTAAGGCTTAGGGCTTAAATCACCTATTGTAGACCGGCACTAAGGCTTAGGGCTTAAATCACCTATTGTAGACCGGCACTAAGGCTTAGGGCTTAAATCACCTATTGTAGACCGGCACTAAGGCTTAGGGCTTAAATCACCTATTGTAGACCGGCACTAAGGCTTAGGGCTTAAATCACCTATTGTAGACCGGCACTGAGACGATCTTAAATATAAGAACTGACTATGAATACCGGCCTTTAAGCTTAGTTTTCGGACAATTTTATAAGTTTCACGAATACGTTACACATCACAGCCACGGTCTTACATACAGGCTTGAAACTCCAGTGGTGGGGGAAGGTCGCATAATGAAGCAGTTTTTAGTTCTCTAATGGCCGCTAGAGTCGTTGCGTTAGATTTAACCACGGTGGCGTGGGACGCCGGAGGCTGGGGGAATATCTTTTTCCTCAAAATGTTTGTCACATATAACGTCCGTCTAGCGCAATTTGACTATACCTGGGATAGCCTCTTCCCATTTCTTCCATATAACCGGGTCTTTCGGTACGCCAAATAAAGACCGCTTTATTTGTTCCGTTCTGCTGCCGGTTCTACAATACGGTACTGCGCACCATCTCGGCATTTTTCAAAAATAATCCTTTACGAAAATCACACGCGTGTTTAAAACGGCTCTCGGGGTTTCCAATTTTCTTTTTTGACGTTTCAGGTAGGTTACGGTTATCTGGGAAAAGTTATCACAGCGACGAATAGTGGCTGTGTTAGGAACTAAATATTTCCTCAATAAGCGACCGTACCCCCACCACTGATATTGCGGCCAGTTTCAAGACCTGTATGTAAGGGAGAATTCACACCTTGGCAGAAAAACAGAAAGCAGAAAAGCAAAAGCCAATCAGAACTCGTGCTAGAAAAGCAGAAACCAATCAAAACTTGCGCTGAGAATAAGCAGTACATTCTGCTTTTTTAGCGTGAGTTCTGATTGGCCTCTGTCTTTCTGCTTTCTGCTTTTCTGCCAAGGTGTGAATCCGGCCTAAGACCGTGATCACAGCACTAGCATAAAGCGAATAATTACGAAATGGCACGCAAGAATAATTTGGGCTGTCAAAACGTCACTTTTCACGCCTCATAGTTCATCGATTTGCAACGTGAGGCGCTGCATAAAAATTCTGACATGTGGGTAACATGCTGGTAACTTGTAGCTAACATATAACATATATATAGTATATATCTTTTATATATCTTTTATATAGTGTAGTACTCTATTAGAAGAATACTTGAGCAAAGGAAGGGCGCAATGCTCAGCCATTTCCAAGAAAATTTGATTTAAATAATATGGCTTTTCTTATATTCAGCTCCGTTATATCGATTAGCGAGAAGGCGGCGTAGCTCGGGCATTAAAGCGGGTGGCTATCACGCATCAGACCAGGGTTCAATTCTTGTCCCTGGTCCCTGGCACTTTTTTTCTCATTTTTTTTTTTATACAATCTAGCAACGAATATTTATTCATGTAAAATAAAGTTAATTCAACCAACTTTTTTTTTTTTTTAATTTGCGCTTTCAAAAGGCAATTTTCTTTTAATTTACTCACAAAACTGGGCATAATTTTAATTCAACTTAAAATCTTATTATTTTATACATCTACCCAATATAAAACGAAGCAAATAAAACGCTATTATTTG